ATTAAGGAGAGGGGAGGGAGATCACGACAAGCAGAGGGGTGACCCAGGACAAGGGCAGGGGCGGAACCCAGGGGTACTACGGGTCAAGGGGCGACCCCTATAAAACCCTGTAAGAAACCGTGCCAAGCCAATCCTGGCTTTGTCTGTAACCACTACGCATTACGCCTGAGTAAACTAGCTTTCGTTCGAGTTCGTGTCTCACAAGGGTTATTTCCAGCACCTAATGCAGTGAACCTTACAACCTGAATGAGTGCTTTAAACATTCAGTACATGCCTCTTTGGAAAAAGGAAGATTGTGAAAGGAAACGTCCACCTTTTTCAAGTATCTGAAGGGATGCTACACAGAAGAGGAGAAAGGCTGACTCACCACTATCCAAGAAAACAGGTTTATCTCCAGTTGGCTGAAGTTATGGGAGGGTAGACTGCAGCTGAATGGTAGGGCAACCTGCTTTCCCTCACAGAGGGGAAGATTTTCAAAGAGAGGATGGACAGCCATCTGGGATGGGAGGGAGATGTGCTGGCTCACTGAGTAGGAAACTGGATTATGTAGCCTATAAAATTCCTCTAAGCAATGCTTATTTGTGATTTGCAAAGTCCTGTGTTGTTGCAGTTTATGTGTGGGTGCAGAGGCAGATCCCTTCTGTCCCTCTTGCTGGGGGGCAGCAGTGGGTTAGGGTTGTGGTGCAGGTTCTTCAGTATTATCCTTTCATGTGATGCATAAGGGGTTATCAAAGTATGAGCCTGACATTTGCTTATTAGTATTCAAAGCACTCTAGGCCTCTGTCAGAAGGTGTACTGCCACATCTGCAATATGCAAACTAGACCCATTGCAGCAGCAGCAGTGGGGAAATGGCAGCCCCCGTCCTCATCTCGAGATTGCTTCTGATATATGCAGAAAACTCTACTGATGGCATTATGCCCATGCTGAAAATCAAGTTGTGATGTGCAGGAATGTTGCATTCAGAAGGAGGGGTTCCCCTTTTGGAAATGTGCCCAGCTGGGTTTCCGGTGCGGCATCAGCCAAGACCTCAGGCAGGGGTGGTGGTGTGGCAATTGTCATCTGGAAATCTCTTAAGGCTTTCAGAAGCGCTGCTCCACAAGTTGCCAGATGTGAGACCCTGTTCATTAAGTTGGGCTCTAGGGATCAGTTGGGATTGTTGCTACTTTATCAGCCTCCTTGCTGTGTAGCAACCTCCCTGTCTTAGCTGCTTGACTCCATTTCTGGGTTGGTGGTGGGGTTCCCCAGACTTATGGTCTTGGGGGACTTCAACCTGGAAGTGGGGTCTGAGGCAGCTCAGGAATTCATGGCTACCATGACAGCCATGGGCTTATCCCTGGTCATCCAGGGCCCAACATGGGACAGTGGTCACACATCTCATCTGGTTTTCCTGTTGAAGCAGTAGCAATATGATCTGGAACTGGGGGAGCTTTTAGTGTCCCCCTTGTCATGGTCAGATCACACCCTATTACCATGGGATTCTCCAGTGCCACTATCAACCACAGTGAGGCAGGACCTATTAGACTGGCCTGCCCTTGGTGATTGATGGACCCTGATGGGTTTCAGAGGGAGCTGGGGATTGTTCCTGCTGATCTGCTGCATAGTCTATCTAAAGCCTTGGTGGCTGCTTGGAACAAGAGGGCTGCCAAGGCCTTGGACTGGATCACACCTGTGGAGCCTTTCCCTTCTTGTGGATCCCATCACTTTCCATGGTTCACGGAAGAACTGAGGGAGATGAAATGGGAGAAGAGACGTCTAGAGCATCACTGGCACTCAGTGAGGGACAAACTCAACCGAACATGGGCTAGAGCAGCTATTAAGGGCTACATTGTGGTGGTAAGGGCGGCAAAGAGACAACACTTCTCTGCCCCTATTGTGCCACAGATAACTGTCCCACAGCCTCATTTCAGGTGACACAACCAAGATCCCCCTACAAGGCCACACAGAAAAATATGCTCAGCATCTGTTGGACAAAATCACTCAAATTTGTTCTCAGTTGGACACAGGTCCCAGTTAGTAAAGTCTGGTCCCTTTATTTGGGAACAGTTTGAACCTGTTGGGCCTGAGGAAATGGACAGGGTCCTTATGACTGTGAGCTCGACCACTTGCTCTTTATATCCATGCCCCTCCTGGCTAACTAAAGTGGCCTGGGAGGTGTTGTGTCGGCAGATTCTAGCAGTGGTGATTTCCTCCTTGAGTGAGGGGTTGTTTCTCCACCCTTAAGGAGGCATTGGTTTGCCTCCTCCTCAAGAAACCATTGCTGGATCCCACCATACTGCACAACTTTTGTCCAATATCGTACCTCCCCTTTTGGGGGAAGGTGTGGAGAAGGTTGTTGTGCAGCAGCTTTAGAGGACTTCCATGGGATGAATACAGCATTGGTTGTACCTTTAGATGATCTCTGGCACAAGCAGGGCGGAAGTTGTGCATCCATCCTTGCTCTGCTTGACCTCTCAGCAGCCTCTGATACCATCAACCATGGTATCCTTCTGGACTGGTTCTGGGGATTGGGGGTGGGTGTCGCTATATTGTGGCTGGTTTTCCTCCTTCCTTCAGGGTCGATACCAGTCAGTGGTAATGGGGGGGGAGGTCCTGCCCTCAGCCCCTACCATGTGAAGTGCCACAGGGTTCAGTGCTCTCTCCACTCCTATTTAACATCTACATATTTAACATCGACATGAAGCTGCTGGGAGAGATCATCCATCACCATGGGGTGAGGTAACATCAGTACACTCATCACTATGCTCTCTGCCCCTGGTGATGTCCTATTCCAGTGTCTGGAGGTTGTGGGGGCCTGGATGGGGAACAACAGGCCTCAGCTGAACCCTGGTAACACTGAGTGGCTCTGGGATTTGGGGCCCTCCAGTTCAGGGACCATGCCATCTTTGGTACTGGATGGGGTTGCACTGCCCCAAACAGACCTGTTGTGCAACCTGGGGGTCTTCCTGGAGTAGCAACTCCTGCTCAAAGAGCAGGTGGCAGTCATGACTAGGAGGACCTTTGCACAACTTAATGTTGTGCACCAGTTGTGCCTATCCCTGAATCGGGAGACTCTCTTCATAGTCACTCATACCCTGTTCACCTCCCGGATGGACTACTGTAATTTGTTCTACATGGGCTGCCCTTGAAAAGTATCCAGAAGCTTCAGCTGGTACAAAATGCAGCAGTGCAGGCAGTTCTGTGTGCTCCTAGAATGGCAAACGTTACACCTCTGCTCCATGAGCTGCACTGTTTGCCAGTTTGCTTCCAGATTCAATTCAAGGTGCTGATTTTGATCTTTAAAGCCCTTCATGGCATGGGGCTGGGTTAATTGACAGACTGCCTCTGCCTGATTACATCTGCCCATCCCATCAGGTCCTGGAGAAGAGGTCCTGTCTGCAAAGAAGTTTACAATCTGGCAGGACCTAGAAAAGATGGGTCTTTTCTGCCATGGCACCCAATCTGTGGAACATCATTCCCCCCAAGGTGAGACTGGCTCCATCCTTGACATCTTTCTGGAAGTCCCTCAAAACATGGTTGTGTCAACAGGCTTGGGGATCTCAAGGTAAATGTGAACGAGTGAGATGGCTGCATTGTCTATAACATCAAATCCTCTCTGCTAATCTGTTAATAGTAAATACTGATGGATGTTTTTAATTGTAGAATTTTTTAATATTGTTTATTTTATTATTTGTTTTTTATTGTACGCTACCCAGAATCACTTTTTGTGATCATATATAAATATGATAGATAGAAAGAGTGTAATGGTACCCCTGTATTTGCACAAAGCTCAACAGATGGCTCAGGGGCATTTATGTGTTTTTTATGTCAGAATGCACATACAGAAATGTACTCTAGCAAGGAATATTCTGTTTATATTTTACAGAATGTGATAAATTTCTGGCAGTTTTCCTTCTGAGCCCATTTGATTCCTTCTGTCTTGCTCTTCCCATTTTCTTTCTATGTTTTTCCATTTACCAGAAGAAACTTGTGAAAGGTGCTCTCTGATGGGCCAGCAGTTACCAGAAGACCTAGACCCTGAAATCAGTCCCAAAGAGCAGTAGCCACCCAAAAGAAGATGATTAGGGATTAGCTAATTTATACAATCCAATGTCATTTCATCTTGAATTTTTCAGAAAGACACTCTCTCAGAGTACTCATGAAAGAGACCCTCAACTCTAGACCCCTCAAGTGACCCTGGCAATGTATACCCCCCCAAAAAAATATCAAGCCAAATTCAGGTTTCTGTTGAACATTGCAAAATCATAATGGGATTCCTTAAGCAGCATCATTGCACTGCTTATGGTTTAACACTAATTCACTAGGCCAAGACTATAAAAAACTGCATTGTAGGTATGTCCTTAACCACAGAACCCATTCTGGCTTTCTATGTTATTCAGGGTAGTGAAATAGCAGAATAAAACAACTCTGGTTTCCTATTTTATGTTTTATTTTGAGCCAAACTATTGATTGTGATAGTCCTTCCCAGTTTCCACACTATTTAAAACAACAAAACCAGACTCAGATTTGGAATTGGTTGATATCCCAGAAAGCTCTGGGCCAGAATACATGGGAGGGATGTTCATTATTTCCAAATGTCCATTAAATCTGCAAATAGAATATTTGTCTCCAGTTATGCTATATATGTAATGATGTCATTAAACAAATAATGTAAATCGATGCAAATAATGTAATTTGCATCACTTCTGACATCATTACCCAAATGACTTAAATTGCTACAGAGATTGAAAAATTAAGGTAAAATTAACATAAACTTAACTGCCTCATCTGGATTTGTCCATTATATTGGGGGAGAGGGGATATCTGGTCTGAAATTTTGTCCATTACATCCCAATCCTGCTCAATGGGGGTCCACTGAATCGAGGTTTCACTGTACATACAGGCATGCATACAAACACATGTCCACCATACCTTTAGGAAGTCAAAGCATCTGAGCATGTAGGCAACCTTCTCAGCATTCTTTCCCTCATTAAGGAAATCAAGTTCAAGAGGCAAGTTCTTCTTAGCTTCTTCCACTAACCACATGAACTCAAAGTCTGGGAAGATTTGCTTCACAACCAAGATGAGTATCTGAAATCATAAATCAATAATCTTGTTGGGTGCCATGCAGCAGGAAACTAGAACTGGGAGATGCATGCAATAGGCGTACATCCATGTGTTTAAATAGGAGAACTGTCCCAGATGTATAAAAAGGAAGGAGAAGGATTCCACTTTTAACAACAAAAGGACTGTGGAAATAAAGAGTGCATAATCCTCCCCCTCTGCCTACTACCTCTTCACTATGGGCACAGAGGCAGGCTATAAATTGTAAATAATTTAATGGGTAGCTTTACCACTTAGCAAAGCTCTAAAAGCAAAACTGTCCTTAGCCAGGGGAAAAGAAATTTTAGGACAGCAGGTAGAAAATGGCATATGCAAGAAATTAGGGCAGGGAAGAAAGCAGTCAGTTGTCTGTCTGTCTGTCTATCATCATGCTGCTTCAATCACAAAAATAACCTTAGGTGGCTTAGATGTTCAGGTTAAAATAACCATAGAAGTAATAAAATTAAAAAATAGATAATAATACATAACCACATATGAGAGACAACAACCAAATAAAAAAGGATTACAGCAATCAGAAATAAAATACAAGGGAGTAAATCAGTGTACCCTACTCCAGGACTTGTTAGAAGAGCCGAATTTTCAGAGTTTCATGAAAGCCAATAGAGATTTGTTATTAATCTCATGGGGATGCTGTTCCACAGGGCAAGTGCAGCTACAGAGAAGACACATCTCTCTGGCCTCACAAGTTGGGACCAGGAACACTCCAACTCTTATATTGCTGATCAGGCAGAGGTGACAGGAGAAAGAGGTATTCAACACCTTGAACTGCACCTGGAATCCCACTGGTAACCAGTGTACTCACAAAGCTGAAATGTTACACGGGCAAAATAAGGAAAACCCATGATGCTCGACCAGCTACATACTGGATGAGTTGTAGTTTCCAAGTGGTCTTCAAGGGTAGTCCCATGTAAAGCACATTGCAACAGTCAAAGAAAAGGTGATTAGAGTATGAATGACTCCTGATCCAGAAAAGGATGAAATTGGTATAGAAGATGGGATTATGCAAAGGCTGCCACCTGCTCTTTAAGCAGGAACTGAAAGTCTAAGAGCACTCCCCAAATTACATATAAGTTCTATCTCGGGAAGAACAACCACATCAAGGACCTGAAGGTCCTTGAAACCAAACTCATAGAACTGTTGCTATGACTAGTTTAATTTCAAAAGTACTTCATGGTTAAACTATCTTCTCATACAGTCAATTCCTATTCCTACATGAGGTCATATGAACTTAACATTCCCATCTTTGGCAAATAGGAAATGAATCCTTATTGTGGCAGCTAAATTCATAACATAAATTAGAAGGGATAATTTAGACAACTGCATCCAACACTCAGTCCAGTGCAGGAATCCAAATTAAAGCATTTTAGAGAGATAGTTTCTAGCCTCTGGTTGAACACATTGCACAATGTCTCTATATAATTGGTTCCATTTTTGAGCTGCCCTTTGTGGGGTGATTCAGTCCTGACCAATTTAGAACATGTCCTATTTGTCATAATGGC